CATGGAATCACCTCAGCGTTAGCATTTGGGTGGCATTCTGCTTCTTTCTTCCCTTCAATCTCAATTGATAGTGAAAAGGGGAATTCAGGCCATATAGTCAAATCAAGGCTTGGATGAGTGCCAGCAAAAATTCTGCCATCTTCTGGGGCTCTAGGAAAAGCAGGTCTATGCTCAATCCCACGGGCAACCGCCTTCTAAATAAATATTTGTATAGTTAGGCTGGTTAGGAAAACACATTGGGGTGCAAGGGAGCATTTAAAATGCCCAAGACATACTTAGGAAGGTGCCTTGACCTGAGTCTTGATTCCTGTTCAACTCACCAGGGGTGGGCAGATGATAAATCAAGGGCTGTTGCTAGTTCACTGGGTGGGATCCACAAAGATTTCCAGCTCCCTCCTGTTTAGCAATAGCAACAAGAATATAGTCCCATCACCAAATTATATCACTGTAGTAAAGCAAGCCTGGGTACCTGGTTGGGGTGGGGGATTTATGTGAGGAAGGTCTTGAAGCTGGTTCAGTGATGGTACTCAGAACAAATCCTTGGGCTGAGAAATTTTAAATCAGAGTGCATGTCTGTTATACCCAGCTCCGGTGGATTGCTGGATTCCAGCAAAACAAAAGAAAATAGATTCCACTAGCCTGAAATCTGCCCACTGTCTGCTCTGACTGTGCAAGGTTTAGACAGGAGCCTTTTCAGCTCTACCCAAAGATGCCAGGCGCCTTCTGTATGCAAAGCATGTGTTCTGCTACCAAGTTACAACCCTACTATAAAACACAGCCTTCAATTTCCAGTTGTCTCAGACTTCCAGTTCGAATCCAACCCTGACAAGTCTAAACTGTACTTCACTCCCATCCTTGTTCTACTGTATGGAAAACCCGCCTGCTCAAGAGTTCACACTGAAGTGGGAGGTGCTGTAGTTCAACAATACAGTGCATTTTCTGTGCGCAGAAGGTTCCAAGTTAAATTCCTGGTATCCCTAGGTAGGGCTGGAGTGGAAAGCTGCTGCCAGTCAATGTTGGCAATATGAGATGGACCAATGGTTTGACAGTATAAGGCAGTTCGCTTCATCCCTTACGCTGCTTTTCCCCATCCTCCTCTATAAAATTGCGGTGAGAATGACCTGTTTTGCAGAGTTGCTGCGATGATTAATGAAGAAGCTTATACTCAATCAAAAGTGCTGTAAAATGATTAATAATCATTGCAGGCATGTAGTTCTACAGCTTCCATTATGCCTGCAATTTCTATAGATGTGTTTTGAAGCCTCCATCACTTTGGCCTGCGTTACACAAAGGATCTGAGAATGTGTTACCTTACAGAAAACGAGCACCACTATGCTTTGTGGTGTCATAGAGTGACACCAGTCAAGAGAAACCTCTCATATTCAATGCCTATAGAATTTTGCCCTAAGAATAATTGTATCTTGTTTTACTTGTTTGCCCAGTAAAACAAGAGGCAATGACATGGTTATGGTCATGTGTTGGCCTACTGACCATGCTTAAAGATTTTCAGTAGAAATGAATGGGTCATGAGAAGACCTCCAACTTTGGGTGGCTACTATCCAACATCGCTCTACTTGAAAGATATGCACTAATGCTGCTTCACATTTTATTGGACAATCAGTTTGGGTTTCTTGGTGGGGTGGGGGGCAGTTATGTGTATTTGCCTGAGAAGAGTATGCTTTAGTTTTTAAAAATGGTGTGGTGGAGTTCAGCATAGCCCACAAAGGTTCTGTTAGTTTCTCTTACTTAGAGAATGACTACTTTGTTCTGCAAAAGTAGAATGGAAGGAGAAGCCATAACTAAAGTACAGACCATACACAGTGAAGGTCACAAACCTTGTGGAATTCTAGGACAAGGTTTCGAGATGGCTAGATGGAGGGGATGCAGTGGATGTGGTATACCTGGATTTCAGCAAGGCCTTTGGCAAAGTGCCCCATTATATCCTGGTGGAGAAACTGAGGAGTTTTGGGATACACCAATGCACTGTCCGGTGGATTAGGGCATGGTTGACTGAACGAAAGCAGAAGGTAACCATTAGCGAGGAATCATCGGGATGGCAGCCAGTGACAAGCGGGGTCCCCCAGGGCTCTGTCCTGGGGCTGATCCTGTTTAATCTTTTCATAAATGACATGGAAGAAGGGGTGAACAGTCTGCTGATCAAATTCTCAGATGATACTAAAACTGGAGCAGTGGCCACAACTGAGGAGCAGGTACTCCAGATCCAAAAGGATCTGGACAGACTATGGAAGTGGGCAGGAGACAACAGGATGGCATTCAATGTGGATCAGTGCAAGATCTTGCACTTGGGGCATAGGAATGTGTGTCATAAGTACAGGTTAGGTGACAAGTGGCTGGAGAGCAGCACTTCTGAAAGGGACCTCGGGGTGCTGGTTGACTGCATGCTAAACATGAGTCAGCAGTGTGATGTGGTGGTCAAGAGGGCAAACGCCACCCTTGGTTGCATAGCCAGAAGCATGGCTTCTAGATCGAGAAAGGTGTTGCTACCGCTCTGTGCGCTCTGGTGCGCCTGCAACTGGAGTACTGTGCTCAGTTTTGGACCCCTCGTTACAGGAAGGATATAGCCAGGTTAGAGTCAGTGCAGTGTAGGGCCACAAGGTTGGTGGTCGGTTTGCAGGGGATGCCGTATGAGGCGAGACTGAGGGAACTGGGACTCTTCAGCCTGGAGGAGACTCAGAGGGGATCTGTTGGCGTCATACAGGTATTGAGGGGATGTCACATGGAGGTGGGTAGAGACCTGTTTTTCCCTTTAGAGGAGGGCAGGACACGCTCCAATGGAGCAAAGCTCAGGGAGCCAAGGTTCCATTTGGATGCCAGGAAGCATTTCCTGAGTCAGGACCCCGAGGGTGTGGAATGGGCTTCCACGAGAGGTCGTTGAGGCCCCATCGGTGCGGGTGTTCAAGAATAGGCTGGACATCCACATGGTGGGCATGTCATGAGTGGAGCCGGCTGGTGCCAGAGGTCAGACTAGATGGCCCGGGAGGCCCCTTCTGACTTGCTGTGTTTCTATGGTCCCTGTTGGTTCCATCCCAAGCATCTCCAGGTAGGTTGGAAAAACTCCTGCACAAAACCTGAGAGCTGCTCTCCGTCTTGTGTCAACAATACTGGGCTAAACAGACTAATGGTCTGCCTCCACAGAGTGGTTCGAACAGTTAAAACCAACCAAGATGGCTTATTGTGACCTGTGCCACATGCCAGGCACTACTGGCATACTTACCACCCAGCTGTGGCTTAATATGCACCTGAATCTACATGACACAGCTTGTTGGAAGGTTCAACAACGCTCCCATAACCTTACAACAGCTCATGAGTTGGGGGTTGTTGAATCTTCCAAAATGTCATGCCAGCCACCTTTACACAACATGGCAAACCACAATCAAGCAGGTTATGTAAATTATGCCTGGCACTCAAAGAAGCCATGGTGTGTTGTTTTGCTCTCCTGTGAGCCACAAGTCCCTATGCTGAAGATCAGTGCCAAAGTCCCTGGTTTTAGACACCCTTTGCCTAGCAGATAAACTGCTTGTGTTGCTCACCTTGTTAGCAAGCACAGTTTGAAGAACCAGATCATGGTTAGACAGTGTCATCCTAGGTCTAGGAAGGTCAAATTCAAATCTCCACTCAGCCATGAACTATTTGATATTGTTGTGAAGAAAAAAATGGAAGAGAAAGTGAGTAAAAAATCTCCAAAGTTGTGCCATGACTGACTGCAGATCCCTTGCGGATGCCCAGCTTGAAACAGCTTGTCTCCCTGTCGACATTTACTGCAACCGAGACTAATACAGAGTGGTGCAGTGGTAAATACAACTGTTATGTCAAGTGCAGAGCGGCCCTTGCGTTTCTTCCTATGCGGCACTGGTGCATTGATTTGCCATCTCCGGAGCACATTTACTGATTCAGCAAGTGTTAGGCTTGGACGCCTAACCATGTGGAACAATGGGTCCTTTTGAGGAATCCAGCACATAATACCATATATGGAATCAATGATCAGTGGAGGGTGGAGGCACAATCTTTGTCCTGAATATTTCCTGCTCTTTATGCCCTGCTGCCAAAATGTCCAGCATTCATATTATTCCGTGTAGTGGTGGACAGTTAGTAAGAAACATCAGCCCAAGTAATGCTTAGAAATACACACAGAGAGATCTTGTTGTGACGCCTTAAAGACCAACAGTAATTGAGACACAAACTTTCATGGATCAGAGCCTGAACGAATCTTGCTTAAACTAATTAGAATGCCACGAGATATTATTTTCGCCCATTTCTTCTACCAGTCTATACCTCTGGGATTTATCACCATAAAAGTATCTTTTTAGCATAAGGAGCAGGAGTCCTTTATTTTATAAAATACAGCGATTTTGTGATTCTTCGGGTTCTTGACACCGTCAGCCAGTCTGGTCTTTCCTTCTCTCTCACTCTCTTTCTCAAACGTGTCCTAGCTACTCAGAAGGTCCGCTTGAGCAGATCTTTACTAATGAGAATCTTTACTAATTTCCATATAAACAACGGGAGGAGTTTGCACCTAATTTCCTGGGAAGGCTTTTTCGAAAACATATCCGTGAAGACGTAATGCTCAGTGGGAAATTCCATCCCCCGCCGCCCCCTCCTCCCCGGCCCGCTCGCTTTCCCGCATCTCCGTCCAGGGCTTGACTGATCTTTGCCCCCTCGTGGCATTTCCTGCCCGCGGTTCTGGTTCTCGCCGGTGGTATTGCCGCCGCCACCGCTACGCCCTCTCGCTTTGCGGCGGGCGCTGCTAACGCAACGGGTTCCACGGTTGCATCAACGGACGTCCCAGATTCCGCAGAAACTCCTTGATCTCTGGGGGTTAGCCAGCAGCCACGTAACTTTACTGGAAGACACCCGACCCGAGCAAGGAACGCCGTCCGTGCGTGCAGTGAAGCACAGATCGGCCGCCAGCCACTCCTCCCACAGGCTAGGCCGGGTATTACTGGAAGGGGCGGGGCCACTTGAACCGACGGCGAGGGAGCAGCGTGTTTCTCTCTCGCCGCAGCCAATGCAGGTACCGGCCTAGCAGCCGTTCAGCGCGGGAACAACCTTGTGTGCTTGCACGGCGATCTGTTGCTGGCCGGGACTGCACCGCGACACTAGCCCTCTCGAAGCCTTGGCACCTCCTTTTTCATCCGTCGATGGTCTGCGCCGCCTGCGGAGCCTCTGGCGGTGGCCACTGCGGATCAACCCAGTAGCTCCGCGCCCAGGGCTGGCGGAGGAGGGCGGCTGCATTCAGGTGGGAGGCGAAGGTGGATCGTGTTATTGCCTGCCTCCTAGCTCTTCCACATGCCTTTTGCACCTGCCTGTGGTTATTGTTCGGAGGGTTGTTTTCTTAAGCCCTTGCAGCTCGATCCTGTGCTGTTTTCTCAGTAGTAAGTCCTACTGAGTTCGAAGGGACTTCTTCCCAGGTAAGTAAATAGGGTTGCAGCCTAATCCTATGTGTGCTGCCAAGGAACTGTACCTTTACAATTGCAGCTCACACGCTGCAATCGTATTTATCCCTGGAAATCAGGCGCTTTGAATTCAGTGGGACTATGTAAACCTGCCTAGGGTTAAGATCTAAGCGGCTCTAACGTGAACAGAATCCTGCATTTCTTGAACGGGTTGGACACAGAGGGTTGTAAACAAGTGTGGGATTATTTAGGGTTTCTTTGCAAGTGGGCGATTTCCACCTGAAACATGAAGACTCAGGTGGCCTCTGGTAAAGTGACAGTCGGGATGGTAGGATGAGAGTCCTTGCTGAGGGTGGCAGGAATGCGCTTTTAATATGTGAATGAATCGCAGGTCTGGATAATTTAGCACGCTCTTAAAATAGGCATTAACTCGGGAAATGAATTATGAGGTCACATAATTCTGACGATCACACTACAGCAGAAGCATCGCATATTGTTAAAGTTTTATGGCTTTCAGTAATAACAACAAAACAGATAGGGGAGGAAATCGACGTGGGACGGAGCGTCGGCCAGGCCTCCTAGATGCTGCAGCTGCTAAGGGACACGCTAAAGCCCCGTCCTTACATTCCCGCTAAATCGGCCCTGGGAGTGAACACACTCCCTTTGCCCACGCTGTGGAAGGAGGCCCCAGCCTTTTCAATTCCTCTGCACCCACCAGCCGCTTTCTTTCCTGGATCGCCGTGTAAAAGCGATCCTTGCATTCAGCACGGAATATACACCGCCTTCACTCCGGCTTTGCACAAGCAGCCTCTAAAAGATCCACAAGCTCCGTGAATAATAATAGTTGATCGCGTGTCCGCTTTTCGCCGTCGCCCCTTTTCCGAACTGGTTCTCCCTTAAACGAAGATCGATCGGTTGCAGCAGGGGAGCAGGGAATCCCTCTCTCGACCGCGTCATTCTAACCAAGGAAACCCGCGCTCGCGTAGTGCAACGCAAATGACCATCTTTGGCAACAGCGACCTGCGACAATGGAACAAACTAAACCTAGAAGGGGGGGGGAGTAGCTGAAGGTCTGGTCAAGTCGCTCTGACACTCTGGTCAGGCTGTGCCTCCGCTGCAAATAGGGAATGGGTGTGCGAACAGTTTCGGTGTCGTCTGCCTAGCGTTGGCTATATCGGATTTAATGGGCAGGGTGATCTCGCCCTCCTCTTTCTCCTCCTCCGCCAAGTGGGAGGCTCCGTGTTACGAGGCGGGGCCAAATTGCAAGGTTGACGTTTGCGAATCCACATGGTTTAGAACTTAAGAAGCAGAGGGATGGCATAATAAGACTGGATTTGAACTAATGCCATTGCACTGACTCATCCAGGGCGAGTAAAGGAGCTCAGAGAACACGGATATTAGATAGAGAGGTGCTGGAGAGACAGAGAGCAAGGAGAAGGAGGGGGCACGTGAGACAAGGGGGGCGAGATCGTCTTCATGGCAGGGAAGGGCGGCAGCAGCAAGCGGTGAAAGATCAATAATTCAGAGGAGTATTTTAAACAACAAATAAAGAGCCTCAGATCCCGGGCTGACTCAGCCAGTCCAGTTCGAGCAGGAAGCTGGCACTTTTATGAAAGGCTTAATTACACAGGAGGAAAGGTTCTCCTGACTTAAAAACTACAGGCTATTGGCTTCGGAACCAGTTAGAAAGCGATCGACAGGAAGTTGGAAGGAAGGAAAACAAGACATATCCAGTTTCCTATAGAAATAAAGTATTTGGAAAGAGAACTCTTTTTTATTATTGCTGTATCTGTTGCTGTGGCTGTTTTGACGTTCGTATGAGACTCAAATGATTTGGCTGTAGATTTTTTTCTATATATAGATATATATGTTCTACGCGAAAGCTTTTGGATTCTTTTTTTTATTCCCACGGTCCTGTCACAAGGAAAAAAAGAATATCAGGAAAGGACTTGTTTTTCATTGTTTAAAACAGAGAAAAGGGGGGAATAGGACCCGCTGCCAAACGCGACCGTCTCCACCGAGTGCATTCGAAAAATCCTAAGGCAGCCAATTAAAGATCGGAAGCGAGCAAGACAGGAAGGGACAGAGAGGGAGCGTGCGCTGGGAGGCTGTGTCTGTGTTCTTTTTAATTGAATCTCTCCTGTTTGCACCACGGACAATGTACCAAGACTTCCCAGGAAATTTTGACACGTCCTCCCGGGGCAGCAGCGGTTCTCCAGGCCACCCGGAAACTTATTCCAGCATCACGAGTCAACAGGTAGGTAGGGGCGAGCACAAGCACCTTTGCCAGGCAGCTACCAGGACCGAGGTTTCGGCGCGGTCTTTTTCTTTCCTTCTCGCTGAAACGCAGCTTCCTCGCAAGATCTGTCTGCACGGAGGTGCAGGCGGTGTGAGCAGATCTCACGCTGTTCTGCACTTTGAGCGAGATACTATGCGATTTTGCTCGGGTTTTCGCTGTTGTTATTATATTCCTCCCCCTGTGTTTGCCCCCTCGTAGCACGCTTTGCTCTCCTCCTGCAATACAGGGCGAGCAACGTCGCCTCGCCCTCGCTCGCTCGCTCGCTCGCTCCTCGCAGCAACTCCTTCATCAAACAGTAAAGTTCAGTAACCACACCCAGTCCACCTCTTGCGAGTGCGGAGCGCGCTGCGAGCGACCTCTCCCTCCGTCGCGGATTAGTGGGGGAGTGATAGGCGGAGGCCCTTCTCCTTTGGCCTGGAGTCCAACGAGCCGCCTTGCCTTTCAACGCTTGCACCTTAAAAGGAGGCGGAAGCAGCAGCTCCTGCCGCCGGCGCGGCTGTGCGAGAGGCTGCGCGAGCGTGAAAACAAGACCTTGCCGTCGGGGAAGCTTCGGTAGCAGAGCTGCGGGCGCGCTGGGTCGGAGCGCGACGGCGGGGCAGCGACCAGGCGGAGCGGGCCGGGCCGGTGCGTGTTGCTTTCCACCCTTCCGCTCTCGGGGGATCTGCCTGCGCGCCGCAGGGCTTGTGCAACATGGTGATGTACGTACGTGCGTTCTCGGGGCGCCCCTGCGACCCCCCCCCGCGCGCCCCTATCTTTTCTCCCCCTCCCTCGCGCTTTGCGCCGCGAGAGTGAGACCGATCCACCACGTTGCACATCGCAATGCAGCCTTCCCCAACCGGGCGCCCTCCGGCTGGTTTGGACCTCAGCGTGGCGTAGTGGTTGGAGGGCCGGGCCGGGACTCGGGAGATTCGGGCTCTGGTCTCCGCTCGGCCATGGAGCTCGCTGGGTGACTGGGCCAGACGCGTATCCTCTGCCTCACCTGCTTCACAGGGTTGTTGTTCTGAGGATAAAACAGAGACGGGGGCGGGGGGCGATGAGGTCTCCAGGAAAAAGGCAGGACAGAAATATAATACCCAAACTCCCATCAGCTCTAGCCAGCCTAAGTAGTGGTCAGGAATGATGGGAGTCGTAGTCCCATGCGTCGACAGGGCTCCAGGTAGCGGGAGACCCTAATCCGGGTCTGAGTTTCTCTTTGCCCCTGGATTTGCGTCTGAGAACGTGACTGGTCAAGGTACAGGGTACGTTTGCCCCAGTGGCAGTTCCGTGTAATGTTCTAGAATGTCTCCTCATTTGCACTTCTGAGCATCCCAGGAGAATCAAAGGTGAAGGAGCACCTGGCAGTAGTCTGACGCTTCGATTCAGAATGACCTGTTTGCGCGCCCTTTTGTTTTTAGGAAGAGAAATTATGACTCTTCCTTTCAAACGCAATGTTACTGCTCAGAGACTGTGGGGGTTGGATAGCCACAAAGTTTTTCTCAGTGTAAAATGTCTTATTGGGGGACAAAACAGGGGAAATCATGCTTATATTGAAACTGGTGCAAACATTTAGTTGTTGATGATAAAGTTTCCACTAGCATGGAAACAGTGTAAAAGGGGATATGTTGGCCTCATTTTTCCGTCGTCTTCAGGAAAACCAAGATGTCTGGTGGTCATGCTGAGCATGGCTGGGGAAATAATGCAATGCGCTCAGGTGTCTTCTGAGGTCAAAAGCCACAGGGCGGCTCTGCTGCAATGCTCAACACATTTTTCCTTAGCAACTCAATGGGATGCTGAAGGAAGGGATTGGTTTTTTAAATGGTTGATCAGCTGTAGCTCAAAATCAACTGGAGTGTGTGTTTGGATTTATTTCTTACTCTGTCGCAAGAATTCAAGGTGCATAACCATTTGTTTCACTTTATAATGCTATTTTCTAAAGTTGCAGATTTGGATTTCATGGAATGTCATGTAGGACACACATCTATGGTTTTTCCCCCTGAGTATTAACAGGTTTCCAATCTGTTGAACATAATAGCAAGTCACTGGCTTCATTGTTTCTTTAATATCATGTGAATACTGGAGTCCCTTTTAGACAATACCTGGAGGAACTAGATGGTTTATAATGGGGGTTTTGGGATTAGAAGCTGGAATCCTAGTGGGAGAGAGAGGTACATAATCAAAGCCACACTCTCCTGGTCTTTGGTTATAAAGATAGGCAGCACAGGGAAAGGGTGGTTGAATTCTGTGACAACTTAAGTGGTTTTGTATGTGATTTGCTTCCTTATGTGAATTTGAAATTGCTCATACTGCCCCAAAGAAGTTAATGTTTTCCCTATCTAAATTCTTTATCTTCTTCGTTAAAATATGTACATGTAAATAGAAAAAGGCAGATGGGTTTAACCCCCCCCCCCAAAAAAAATCCCTTCACCCTAAACGTTTTGGATGCAGTCCTGGATACACAAGCATTTACATGTGTTACCAGCAGAAAAATGCATTAGGAGCAAGTTTTTTGGACTCCACCCTTGCATGAACTCAAATTGGGGTTTGTTTTTTAATGATGATGGAAGATCAGGCACATGAAATTAGGGATGCCTTTGGGAGATTTAGTTGCCAAACAGACAGGGCTGTCCACAGATTTGCCAGGCCAGAGTGAAATCCACTTTAATTCAGTTGAATAGGTTTGTAAATTAAGCCATAAAGTTTATCAAAGGCCTCTGTACAAACCTAGCAAATATAATGTAACATGTAATCTAGTTCAGTTGCACAAAATCTGAAGTATTCCCAAAATCCCAAAATGGACAATTCTTGTAAACTGTCCAGAGTCTAGGAAAATGGGGCGGCATATAAAAATCCAGATCAATAAAATAAATAAATAACCACAGTATGCAAATTTCATATTAGGCTCCTGGGAAAGAATCTGGAAAGTTGTGTGTGGGAAAAATCATAAATCAAACTCTCTCCAAATACTGCAGATTACGGAATATACATCTTTGTATAAATTGACTGAATTTGGTGTTTTTTCAATTTTTAAGACTAGGGATAGTATCCTTTTAATATTAGGGGGTTTAAGCTGATTTTGTGAATAGAAAGCACAGTGGATGGGGGCACTTTTACTGTGATGGATACATGTGGAACAAGCACCTGGTCTAGTCAGGTCTATAGCAATGGTGGAGCAGAGAGAAATATTGTAACTCCCCCCCCCCTGCCTCTGTCTAGAAATAATAGATCCTTTACAAGTAGTTGTCTTCAACTTTCTGCAATGAAAGAACGTTTTACATTTCTGAAACATTTTTAATTGTTGGTGTTGGTCAAGACAATGAAAAAATGAATGATACATATCTCTTCGAAAAATACATTTATACTGAGCCTTGCTAGTGTCCTCAGCCTACAGGGGTGCTGGAATCCATTTCTGATCTCCAAAGAATCATATTTAGATTCCGTTTGTTTTGTTAATCTTTAGTAATAATGTCTGTGTTCCCAGGTATTCAGTCCACTCACCCTCGCGTACACACACGCACATACTGATACCCTTAGGGCTAGAAATGTTTGCATGTTACAAAAGGATGAAGCTAATATTTTCAGGTTACTAAGGTTTACTGAAAATTAAGGGATATTACGGATATTAGTTGCAGGGTTCACTGAAATCAGTGGGCATATTTTCAAGAAATGGGTTTAGGGTTAGCGTCTGTGTGAACTTGATTTCTAATTCACTTTGACTCAGGTTCTCAGATTAGATCATAGTATTGTACACAAAAAAGAGGATGGATTTCAGGAAACTATAGCAAAAGCCAGCAATTAAGCTATACTGATTTTTGGATGCCTTAATTTCTAAGTTCGTTGCAGTAATGAAAAGCAAATTTGTGCATTTTTTAGTCTCAACTTTAAATTTGACTCTTATGGTAGAGATAACCTTTGCTAGTTGACTGAAATAGCAATTCCTGCAAAGGATTGTAAACAATTCCTTAAATTAGAAATGTGTATGGAACAGTAAAAAAATGAAGTTAAAAAAAGGGAGAAAATCCACAGTCATAAGTTAGAAGATTGTTCCTGACCAAGTGTAACTTTTCCACTGGCCAATTCAGAGCAGGCTACATCATAAGGGTTTTGCAATGGTTGAGTCTTACAGTGTTTTCCTGTGACTGCCATCATTTCATAGCTGCCATGCAACCTAGTGACATCTGCCAGATGCATTCTACTTTTTTAAAAAACAAGTATTTTTCTTAAAACCTCTTTTCCTGTGTTGCTTGTTACTCACCTATTCTGTTCTAGCATGAATCTTATTTTCCCCATCACTCCAAATTAAATGCCATTCCACAAGCTGTGTCATACTCCCATTAGTTCTCTACTATAATGCAGTTTAAGTGCTGTAACTGTTTCCAAATGCACAAAAACAGCCAATACCTGGAAAAAATCCTTTTAAAGTGAGTATTTCCATTTTTAAAAAATAGGGTCTGATTGAGAAGGACTTGGAATGTGTTTTTGTATCAGCTCCATCTTTAAGCAGGGAGTGATCCTGTAGCTTTCCTTTGGCATTCTGACATTCCTGGGCTGACCAAACAGAACTTGTTGGTATTTATTGTTGATTGGGTTTTAACCTTCAGAATGCAAGTTCTTACAGGGTCTGAGCAATTTAGCTGCATTTTTGGGATAGTTCTATTGGTCGGCGTCTAGTCTTGAATGATGTCGGAACTTGAAGAATGAGAAATATTTCCTGTTGAAACTGAAAATCTATGAAATCCAGAAGGGTAGTTTCTCCCAACCCATTTTCTTTCAATCTGCATTTTTCTTAGGGTTTGCCTGTCTCTGTCTGTCTGTCTGTCTGTCTTTCTGTGTCATCTTCATCATTAGGTTTTTTTTTAAAGTATTGCACAATCACATCAGTTACACAAACCTATGAAATTTCATAATGTGTTTACACTGGCTAGCTTTGCTTTTCTTCCCCTACAACGGCTTTCTTACCACTTGTGTAATGTGGGAAAAGT